AAATTATTTTATCTCAAAATAGATGGTTGGTTATTGATGATGTTCAAGTGTACCATCATATGGTCCATTATAGTTTAAAAGATAAGATTACTTATAATGCTCACCTAGACGATGTAAAATATCAACATCATTTATTCTTATATGCAATGTTTATGTTGTAATGTTTTCATAAAAATACATAAAATCTCCATTTAGATTCTTTACAATCTTTCAAGAATTGATTTGAATAAACTAATTACCATCAATCTCAAACTAATTAGAGCAGATTTCTTAAATTTTATTCACCTTCTTCTTCAGTGGACTTTGTATCATATTTTACAATAGCCTTTCCAATACCAAAAAATAAAACTATGTTGCTTTACAAGCAACAAAAACTAATCAAATCTTTTATTTTTTTAATCAATTTTTTCTTATAATTTATACACAAGAAGAGGGTAGTTTATAATAACAACCAGTTGATTTGAACATGCTTATTTGAAATAATTTCTTTCTAATTATATCTCAACGTTGTGTTTGTAATGATATGCTATATTATGTTGACTAGAAATATAAAATAAAAGTACATACAAACCTCTATAAATTAATACTTTTAAGACCATGAAAATTTGTTAGTAAATTGAGATATTATTTAATTGATAAATGAATAATTTATTAAGTTGTGCATTAATTAATAATAGTTGGTTTATTAAGGTATTTTAATTTTATGTTTATGTTTTTCAAAACACTGAAGTTAATGTATATATCATGTATTGTTATTATTATGTATGAATATTATCTAATTTTCAAATTACAAATTATTTATTGTACCATACATAAATGACTAGTCCTTGTTAATAGTAATATTATGCCATATCAATACTCCTAGCATAACTAGTATATAAATTAAAGTTAATAACTTAATTGTTTATATAGTTTTGCATATTATAAATTCTAATAACACGTGTTGCAAATAATATATTGATTGCTTACCATGTAAATATTAGTATTATACAACAAGTTTTGGAAGCTACTAATAGAATTCCGGCTTAAAAGTTAATAAAATAGTGTTACCCTTTTGGATGTTTTTAAAAATTAATGATTGAAAGCATTCTAGTAAGCTTATCGTAGTGGGTTGAATTCTAAACTTGTATACGGAGACCTTTGGTTACACTTTTATAACTAAGAAGTTTAATGGGTTTTGAGTTTACAAATAAGACCTTTCAATAAAAATTCAAAGTATCAACTAGTAAGTTTTCCTTAGAAATTCTAATGACCAATTTAATAGCATCCCTCACATAAATGATGCAATATATATATATATATATATATAGACACACACACACCGAGAAAACAAATTAACAGTACTCATAATATATTAAGCAATTTAATTATCAGTCTAAATTTCAAAACAAGAAATAAGCTTATAAAATCATAACTCAAGAAGGAAGAAAACGAAAAAAAGAAAAAAAATAAATAAATAAATAAAACCACAAACTAACACTATAAACAAGGCAAAGAAAACATGCACATGGAAATGTTTCCATTCCTTTGCATCTACGTGGGGGAGGTCTTTTAGATTGAGCTAGGTAAATGATTAAATATTAGTTCTTTAATAACATCATTATTAATTTTGATTACTTTACAAGCATTATAGTGGTAAGTAGGGTCAATCAAATGACTTCTGAACTTATGACATTTATTTTTTAAAATATTTTTTATTTTAAAATATATTAAAATTTATTTATTTTTTATTTGTAAAAATTATTTTTCTAATTGAGGTTGGTAATTTGCTTCACGCTTTCCTATCTCTGAAGATTAAAAGCTCACACTTCAATAAATAAATTGCATAATCCATGCCCAGAGTGGTCTCGTGCTATTGCTAATTGTTAGGTTATTTTTTCTCCTTTTTCCCTTTAATTAACTGTTAATCCCAATCGATCAATTTGTGTTCCTCTCTCTCTCTCTCTCTTTCTTTTTCTTTTTCTTTTTTTCCTTTTACTTAAAGAAGTTGGAGCCCAAATAATTAGAAAACCATTTTATGGAAGTTAATTCCGGCAAAAAGTGGAAATTTAGAGTAAAAATGTCCCATGACTTTTTTCCTGCTCGCATGTGTTTTATGTTCCCGAGGCCTGTGAATGAAGAAAAAAGAAGCCAACTTGGCTGCTTGCTTGCTTGCTGGGGAATCCTGGAGTGTAATTTGCAAATGGAAAGCATTAATGCTGGCAATTATAGATAATTTCGAAATTGAATAACAAATTGTATTTCTAACATGATTTGAAAACAGTCATTCTTAATCTCTAATTTCCTAGCCACTCCTTTCATGATTTGAATTTGAGAACTTTTTATAAAAAGCCCACATTTTTACTATGGACATATCCATTTGAGCACTATAATTTTGATAAATTTGATTTGGGGTGTAACACCTTCTCATTAAGTTCATATACTTTTTAATCAAAATTTTTTTTCTTGCTGTCTTTTGATATAAAGAGGCTTGTTTCTAGTGCCAATCTGTTAATTTCAATAGGCTTGTTTTAATTAAAATCATTTTTTTTATTTGATATTTTGTGTTTTGTTAGTTATGTTTTCTAGGAATATGACATGAAAGTGGCATTACAAAAAATATGTTTGATAAATAAATATTGTGCTTTTAAAAAAAATTATTTTTGCTTTAAAAAATACCACATCTCGCAATCATTTGCTTTACTTTTTAGTTAAAAGCATAGTTATCTGACATTAGAAATATATTATTTTATTTTTTTAAGTTAAATTATTTAAATTATAAAGGTTTTTTTATTTTATATTGAAAAACATAACTTTTTTTCTTATGAATATAAAGTATATATACTAAAGAGACTCAAATCTCATATTGAAAAAATAAAATATTTTTCTAGTATTTATATAGTAAACTTTGAAATGTGTTAGTAACCAACTGAAAAAAAAGAGGTCTCTAACAAAAAGAATAAACATATTTTAGAGAAAAAAAAAAACAAGTCTCTATTGGGTTTTGCCAGATTACTCGTGTTTTGGGTTGAACTGGAGGGTTGATCTGCTTTCTCCGGACTAATTATAGGTCGGGGTTTTTAATAAAATAGACTGGTTAATTTACCAAGGTAGTTTCTGTTTTGGTTTTCCAAAACGTCAACACACACACACACATGTGAACACTATCTAATTTTCAAATTACAAATCAAAAGCAAATGATTAGTCCTTGTCTATATTAATATTGTGTCATATCAATACTTCTAGCATGATCAGCTTGCAAATTAAATTTCATGACTTGTTTTCTTATATAATCTTATATATCTTAATTTCTTATAACATTAGGAGCAAATAACATATTCATTACTTATCATATAAATGTTAGTACTATGCAACTAGTCTTGGAAGCTACGTCAACAATTTTAGCTTAAAAATTGATTAAATTATCTTACCTTAAAATGGATAGATTCTTATAGATTATGTTCGAGTGTTCTATCATATGATCCATTATACTTTAAAAGATAAGATTAGGTATAATACTCACCTAAATGATGTGAAATATCAACATTATTTATTCTTATATGCAATGTTTTTGTTGTAATGTTTTTATAAAAATATATAAAATCTCCATTTAGATCCTTTACAATCTTTCAAAAATTGATTTGAATAATCTAATTACCATTAATCTCAAACTAATTAAAGCGAATTTCTTAGATTTAATTTTTCTTCTTCTTAAGTAGACTTTGTATCATATTTTACAATAATCTTTCCAAAACCAAAATATAAAAATAAAACTTTGTTGTTTCCCAAACAACTAAAACTAATCAAATCTTTTATTTTTGAATCAATTTTTCTTACAATTTATACAAAAGAAATGGGTAGTTTATAATAACAACCCGTTGATTTGAACATCCTTCTTTGAAATAATTTTTTTTCTAATTATTTGTTATGTTATGTTATCATCAAATATCAAATGAAACTATAGGTAAAAATCTCTAAATTAATATGTTTTAAAGATATGATTTAATTGATAAATTCCTAGTACAAAAAAAAGACCAAATTCTTTGTTGTCTGATAGAAAACAAAATAAAAGTTATAACTAATATTTATACAAAAAAAAAAACTTGAACATCAATTTTTATTTCAACCAAATTGTTCTACAACATCCAATCTCAAATACTTAAAATTAAGTAGAGGAACAGTTTATCTATACTTCAATATATTTTTATCATATTTTTATCATGTAGACATGTTTATTTTAGCTATATCTATGAAGCTCATCATATAATTATTCATGTTAATGTAAATGGCCGTGAAAAAAAAAAGAGTTAGTAAAATGTTCTTGAAGAGTTCAAGTTATACACAAAAGTTAAAACTAAATATATTTATATAATTGCCATAAACTGATTTATATAATTGTCAAATAAATTTAATTGGAATATTTCTAGAAATTTTTTAAAATAAATATAAGGATGCTTACGACAAAAATAAATGATCTTTTCAAAAATAATTTTTAAATTAAAGGAAAAATAACCAAGCTTGTTAATTTAATTCATTTTCACATGCATTCTAAGCAATATAATTGAATTTAATTTTGTAATTTAATATTTCATTTCAAATATAAAAACTATAATAGGTTACCAATTAAATTTAAATTTAAATTTATTTATGAAATAAATTTAATTCTGTATATAATTTGATTTCAAACATGATGGTTTTATTAAAATGACAATTAAAATGTGATGTGTGTATGTGTCTATATATATAAAAGATACACACGCTCTCACAAACGGAATTAAATTGCATAAATGTCAATTAAAATGATAGGATATTAGATTTTTCCTCAAGTGAGCATATATGGGATTTCTCTTGAAAATGTGACATTATAATGCATTGTTGACCTTTTAGATACATGTAGGGATACAAAGGGTTTATTTCACATCCCTTAGACATATCCGTTAAGTCTCTGTTTGATAACTATATGGACTTAATTTAATTTGAACTATACTGAGATTGAAGAAAACAACAAATTTATATTTTTCTTAAATATAAAATTATTATTACTTCGTTCAAACGTGTTCTTACAGAAGCGTAATAATTATACATTATTCAACACGTACACACTTAATTAATTATTAATGAGACGACTCTTACTAAATCCACGGGTGAACTAAAAAATAAAGTCCTTCATCACATCTAGTAGCTGAAGAACCTCTTACACCTAAAAATACAAGCCACGCGACACCCCTTACGTGGTCTCCAGATCAAGTTGGTCATCCGATGATTTTGACCACGCACACATCATAAATTCCATGTTCTTCGAAGTGCTTCTTCTTCATCATCATCTTATTGTGTTCTCCAGTCAAATCCTTGAGAAAATGGTAAAGAAGGAAATGAGAGTTTTGTAAAAGAAATCAATATCACTTAAAGGATATGTGATATTAAGCTATACAAAGATCGATGAGATTTCCCCAATAAAAAAAATGTGTACATTTGCATGTTCCGAGACTTAATATTGAAATTCCCCAAAATAGTAAGAACAGTGCTAGCTCTCAATCAAACAAAATCATCCCAAGAAGAAATAACAGATATAAAAACACTGACCGAAGACGGTGGAAGGACGATTGTTCTTCTTTGCCCAACTCGCATGCCCACAATCCCATCATACAAGCCTGCATAAGTTCCATATTCTAGTAACTTCATCTCCAGATAGCATGTAGACAACATATTGCAATATTCCAAAAGAGCCAAAAATTAAGTTTTCACCTTCACATATTTTGTTCTCGCCTGGACCAATTATTTCATGATCATGTTCCGCACGCAATTCATGAGTGTGAATATCATAGAGCTTGTAGTGAATTTTTACCTGCAAAGTATCGCAAATGGTTGAGAGGCGAATTCAGGTAAAATATAAGGCAATTAGCCGAAATCTCGGGCCAAGCTAAGTAGAGAGGAAAGCTAAAACATAGCATGATATAAGGAAAATGGCCTACATGCTCCTCAGATATGGACGATAATCAATAATTTCCCATGCAAAACCTTGTTTGTGGGATATATGAGAAGTATAAGGATGGAATTTGTAATTTCCAAGAATCAAAGGAAACATTAAAAACCTTCTGACCGTCCTTTACGCAACAGTCAGTACTGCCGGCTTCCGTCAGCCCGGAATTTTTGGTCCAGGGCAATTTGAAATGCCGTTTGGTTTTTTTTTCCTCCTTATTAGGTTCTGCAATGCATTTGAAAATTCTAAGTTAAATCATTGATACATTTTGCATTCAGATTTTAAAATTTTAAATAGCTTCTGTGGATATTTAATCTAACACATGATCAAAAGTCTTAGTAGAAAACTTCCTTATAGTTTTTTATAGAGAACTATTTAAGTACTTCAACCAGATAGTGAATATTAAAGGCATAACATCATCAAGAAACTTAGAGAAAGGCAAGGTTACCCTGACAAACTGGGAGATAACCTGATACAACACGTGAATATGAGATGAAAAACGAGAGGCGATGACCGCCCTTCGGAATCTCCATGCTTTGTAGCATATAATTGCTGCGCCATGGTCTATAAATGGAAAACCGTGGGTCCGGTCATAAATTAAAGGCTAATATTAGTAAAATTTATGATTAAATATTAACGACAACCAATTAAGATAATATAGAGGCTGAAAGTATTTCACCAACTCTTACTTGGCAACCTTGAAGCTGCGAATAATGTTACTGTTCTCATGACCATAGAAAGTCCCGAACGAGCGACATATGGCTGCAGGGAGGAGACCACAGAACCATATTCGTGAAACAGATAAAAACAAACTATACATATTTCACTAATTAATCACAGTTGGGAGCAAGGCAAGAGGAATGGTTTAAGATGATAATTAAGTAGTTGATTTAAAAACCATTAAGAGAAATTAAGAGAGTGGCAGGAATTACTGGGAAAGAATGGCTTGCGCATGAGAGAGAAAGCCTGAGAGGAAACCACTGGAGTTAATTACAATTGCCAGAGATATCAAAAGAGAGGTGAGCGTTGCTTTTATATTTGTAGTTGGAAAACATTGACCTTTTAGATTGAGGAAAACTAACTAGCCTGTCCGTCTTTCATGTCATCCTAAAAATTTCCGAAAAACTAAGCCGATACAGTGAGATGAAAAAGAACTGGTAACACACCTAGTGAGAATACGTTGAGAAAAATGTAAGAAAAAGAAGAATCGTCACCCCTTCTAAGAATTCATTTTTTTTGATGTATTAACTAGTTTACCAGACGCTATTAGAAAAAAGCAGCAGAATTACCGGAAAAATATTTTGTTGTTTTTAACTTATGAAAATTATGATGGAAAATTTTGTCAGTGATTTTCTACAAAAACAGCGATGAAAAATTTGTTAACATTATTACTTCATTTAACAAGGAATAAATACTAATTACATAAGTTTTAATAATGGATAAATACGATAAGCTATTAAAATGTTTTTTACATGCAGATGCAAAGAGAGTTACTATATTCAAAACGCAGCTGAACTCATAAAAAAAAAAATATTCTTTTGAGTTTGGAGAAACTTATGGGAGGAACTCTCATACTAGAAACTTTTATCAAAGGAACTTTAATAGAAAGAACTCTCATTCTTGAACTCATTAAAAAACTCAATTTTCTTTAAAAAAACTCCTATTAAAAAAACTCTCACAAGAGAAATTCAATTTCAGTGAGAGAGAGTAATTTCTAATATCAACATGTTAATTTGAATGGGTTTGATTAAAATCAGTTTTTTTTTTTTGTGTTTGTTATGTTATGTTGTTTTTTGACAGTTGTGTTTTCTAGGAATGTAAAATGAAAGTAACATTTCCAAAAACATGTTTCATAAATGAATATTATACTTTTAAAAACTTATATTTTTGCTTAAAAATACTTGTTTCATAATCAATTACTTTGCTTTCAATTAAAGTATGAGGTGAGCTTTTATTAATAACATCATCTACTTATTATACCAAAGGAAAATATTCAATCCTTCTTTGCATTGTATATGGACCAAGTCAATACTCCAACGTGACCTACACGAAGATATTTTTTATGGTGCTTAAAAAATAACAAGTGTCATCCTATGAATTACTCCTTTGATTTGACTTTGAAAAAAAGAGATGCACACAGTTGAGAAAAAGACAGAAAAAAAATTCATGGCCTATAAAAAATGATAAATATACATCCACATATGATTTTTCTGTCTTACTTGTATCTATTTATTTCTTTAATGTAAACTCTAGAAGATAATTAATAGAATGTCACTAGTTACTCCATCATTTATTTATTTATTACCAAAATATTAAAGTTAAAGCATATATTATGTATTGTTATATATATGGACACTATTTAATTTTCAAATTATGAGTTATTTATTGTATCAATAGTAAATAATTAGTCATTGTTTGTATTAATATTATATCATATCAATACTCCTAACATAACCTGCATACAAATTAAAATTAGTGACTTGATTGCTTGTATAGTCTTACATGTCATTATTTCTTATACATGTGGTGCAAATAAAATATTCGTTACTTGCTATGTAAATATTAATACTATACAATAAGTTTTCAAAACTACTTCAAGAATTGCAACTTAAAAGTTAATTAATTTATTTTATCTCAAAATAAACATATACTTATTAATGATATTCAATCTCATCACGTGGTCTATTAAACTTTATATAAAAGATAAAATTACATAATACTTATAAACAAGTTGATTTATATAATGTGAAATGTTAACATTATTCATTCTCATAAACAATGTTTTTCTGGTCATTTATTCATAAAAATGCATAAATTTAGATTTGTTATAATCTTTTTAGAATTGATTTGAATTAATTAGATCAATCTCAAACTAATTTGAGCAAATTTCTTATATTTTATTCTTTTTATTCTTGTATCATATTTTACAATATCCTATCCTAAACAAAAACAAAATAAAATTATGTTGCTTCACAATTAACTAAAACTAATCAAATTTTTAATTTTTGAATCGATGTTTTCTAACAATGTATACGTTAGGAAGGGGTAGTTTATAATAACACCTATTGATTTGAATATGGTTTTTTGAAATAGATTTTACCTTATTGTATCTCATGTTATGTTTGGATTGATATGCTATATTTTGTTGATTTGGAATATAAAATGAAAACACAACTAAACCTCTATAAATTAATGTTTTTAGAACCATGAAATTTTGTTAGTTAATTGAGATATTGTTTAATTGATAAATTAATGATTTATTAATTTATACATTAATTAATAAAAAATTGTTTTATTAAGTTATTATTTATTTATTTATTTTCCAAAACATCAAAGTTAATGCTTATATCATATGTTGTTATTTGTAAACGTTATCTAATTTTCAAATTACAAGTTTTTTATTTACCAAAGGCAAATGATTAGTCCTTGTTTGTATTAATATTGTGTCCTATAAATACTCCTAGCATGACCAACATGCAAATTAAACTTAGTAACTTGATTGCTTATATAGTCATATCATAAATTTTCATAACATGTGGTGCAACAAACATATTTGTTACTTGCCATGCATATGGTAGTACTATACAACAAGTCTTGAAAGCTACTTCAAGAATTCTAACTTAAAAATAAATTAAATTATCTTATCTAAAAATAAAAAAATGCTATTTGATGATGTTCAATTGTCCCATCATATAGTCTATTAGACTTTAAAAGATAAGATTAGATGATACTCATAAATGAGTTGGCTTATCTAGACAACATGAAATATCAACATCATTCATTCTCATAAGTAATATTTTTGTGGTGATTATTTGTTCATAAAAATGCATAAAATTCTCCATTTAGATCTTTCGTAATCTTTTTAGAATTGATTTGAATCAACTAATTACCATTAATCTCAAACTACTTAGAGCAAATTTCATATATTTTATTCTTATTATTCTTTTTCAATGGACCTTGTATCATATTTTACAATAGCCTTTTTTTTTTAAAAAAAAAAGATTATGTTGTTTCACAAGCAACTAAAACTAATCAAATCTTTTATTATTGAATCAATTTTTTCTTACAACGTGTACATGTAGAGGGGATTGTTTATAATAACAACCGATTGAATTGAACATGGTTATTTGAAATAACTTTTTTTTTTTATTGTATCTCATGTTATGTTGTGTTTGGATATGGTATATTGTGTTTGACTTGGAATATAAAACAAAAGCATAACAAAACCTTTATAAATTTTTATTTTTAAGAGCATTAAAATTTATTAGTTAGTTGAGATATTATTTAAATGAATTAACAATTTTTTAATTTATACATTAATTAATAAAAAGTTGATTTATTAAGGTTTTATTTTTTCCCAAAACATTAAAGTTATTGTTACTTATGAACACTATCTAATTTTCAAATTGAAAGTTATTTATTATACCAAAGGCAAAAATGATTAATCCTTATTTGTATTAATATTGTGTCATATCAATGAGGAATAAATATGGTAGGCTATTGAAAGATCTTATATACACCTAGGGGTGTATGGAGAGTTACTAGATTCAAAATGTAGCTGAGCCTAAAGAAAAAACCCATGGGAGAAACTTTCATGTGAGAAATTTTCATTGAAGAAACTCAAATGAAGAACTTATATTGGAGGAGTTCTTATTCTTGAACTTATTGGAGGAACTCTCATTGGAGAAACTCAACTCTCTGTAAGAAATTTCCACTAGAGGAACTCTCATATTAGAACTCGATAGAGAAACTCAACTCTCATTAGAGAGACTTCCTTTTAAAAAACTCTCATCAGAGAAACTCAACTTTCTTTGGAGGAATTCTTATTAAAAAAACTCTTTCTCAAGGCTGAGTTCATGAGGGGTGAACTTTTCTTTTTTACCAAGCCCATAGTGTTGAGCTTTTCTTTAAGTTTGAACTCATGAGGGTTAAACTATTTCCCTTGGCCATGACATTAGACCTAGACATGTTGCCCGGGACCTTAATTGTTTTAGCCCTTGGGGGTTTTTAGGTTCGTTAAATTTAGATTCATCAAAAACCTAACAGATTTTGTTTATCCAAAGAGCAAATCAACAATTCTAAATAAAATAGCACAAGATAAATGATTTCAACCATTAAAAATCTCTCACTAATGATGTAATGTTTATATAAGTGTTTTTCAATTCTTCCCTTAATATTTTGTTCACTAATAGTCATGGACACGTGTGCGCATAACCCCACATTGGGTATCAATGCGATCGTGTCTAATGCCATGTTAGAACTGGATGCATCCTCGCTTAACCTGATGTTAGATCTAGATGTGATCGCGTCCAACTCTATGTTGGGCTTGGATGCATTTATGCCCAACCCCATATTGGGTCTAGACATGACTAGGTCCCGCGCAGGACCTAATGGCAATGGATGCTACCCAGACCCAATTCACATGGGTCCTCGCCAGGTCCTAAATAATTTATGTTAAAAATATTCTTCATTTTTTTTAATGTAATAATATGTGTTATTGATTAGTACTTAAAAGTGTATTTTTATTAAGGTTTTATATCATTATTTTGCACTTGAAGTATCAATAACTCCTTAACTAAAACATGTTTCATAATAACATATCTAATAATATAAG